TCTCGATGAGGATGCACTGGCTGATGAGCGCGGGCAGCGACCTGGCGACCTCGAGGTGCGCCAGCTCGGCCTGGATGTGGTCGCTGAGGCCCTCGTGGTACTGGTCAATGAGCGCGGGCTCGTTCCAGTCCAGGTCTTGGGCGATCATCTGGAACGCATTGGAGTAGTCGACCACGGACCCCATGCCCTGGCGCAGGCGTCTGATCTTGCGCTTGGCGGCCTCCCGCCGCTGGGGGTCTTCGAAGACGTGCTTCATCTCGGTCATGAAGGCTGGGTAGTTGTGCATCAGGTAGTGGGCTCGCTCCAGCTTCGCGGAGGCCCAGCGGGCGGCGCGGCCGGTCATCATGCTGGTCACGAAGCAGACGCGGACGCGATCGATGGAGAAATCTCGGGTGCTCTTCTCCATGAAGATCTGGCACTGGGACATGAAAGGCACCAGCATGTCTGGGTTGCCGTCGAACTTCTCGGGGAGGTCTTCGGAGCCCTCTTCCTCGGCGGGAGGGGGTGGGGCAGCAGCCGCTGCGGCGCCACGGAGCTCCAGCTCATCCTCTTCCTCCTCCTCTTCTTCCTCTTCCTGGGGGGCAGGCTCCACTTGCTCGCGAAGGTTCGAGTTCTCTTCGGTGAGCCTCTGCACCTGGTCCTGCAGCTTGTTGTTCTCCTCGGACTGCCTCATGACCTTCTCTCTAAGGTCGTTGATCTCTTGGGAGAGGTTCTCCCGCCGCCGGCGGTCCTGGTTGGGGTTGCCCTGATCCCTTTGGCAGTTGTTGGAGGAGGAGGAGGGGTCGTTGGGGGGGGGAGGAGGAGGTGGTGGTGGGCAGTCGGCGGGCCCCAGGGTGAAGGTTGGGGTGGGAGGAGACCTCCCAGCTGTCGCTTCACTTCTGTGGGGATGGAGGCCTGGATCCTGGCCTCCTCGTCCACCCTTTCTTCTTCTTGTTTTCAAAAGCTTTTTGTTTCTGTAAATGAGGATAAAAGCATAATTCAACACATACAGTCAAAGAAGCACAATAAAAAGAAGAATTTAGCATTTAATGTGTCTACTAAAGTACTTTAAATACATGAGTATTTAAAGTATCTCTTTACTTGCTTACATTAATAGTTAATAAACAAAACCCCTACAAAGAAACAATAGATAATGGGAAAAACACCTCTTTTTGATGTTCAAGTGATGTTTTTCTCCTCAAAAATCACCTATTCATTATGATTCAATAATACATAACTGTATCAACAGTACACTGCTTAACTTCATGACTATAAAAGAATGCCAAGACACTCCAAACAAGTTGTTTTGAATCCAGAGAGCAGAGCAAGAAACGTTCAAGGTAAGATGGCTACCAAATAAATTACACAAAAGAAAGCCAAAATGATTAACTGTTTTTAAAACAGTTATTAAAGAAGTTACAGATAATATAATATAGCAAATAAACAAACAAAAAACCCTGCCAGAAAACCCATAGGATTGTCTAAATTAGTTTTCTGGTCATAATTTGATTTCCCAAAGAGAAGTTCCTATGGGACAGAAATGGCACTGAGCAGCAACATGTGTATATCAGTTTTCCTCCTTATTATGTAGGCAATTAACAAATATCAGTTGCTACCTCCTAGGAGGAGCTGGGCCATATATATATATAGCCCAATAATAGTACACCTCAAACTTAGAATAATGATTGAATTAAATAATGCAGGTAAAGCACATAGTGAGTTTTCAATAACTGTTAGCTGATATTAAAAAAGTTACTAATAAAGCAGAAACGTTTACTTTCTATGTAAAGAGGTTGGAATTAAAACAGGGAGGGTCTGCAACTATGATGATCTGGGCATGCATTTCCCACCTAAAGATAATATTTTTTAAAATATTGTGTTGGTCAAACAAATCCAGGGTCTCATTTGATTTGCAGGTCACCAGTTTGCAACCCCTGCTTTTTAAAAATGAGTTATCAGTGCAGCCCTACTCGAAAGTTTGTAATTGAGAGTGGGATAGGGCTGAATTCCTCAGGTTCACTGGTGTGGGGGTAGTGGTATGAGAGAGAAGAGACTAAATGTACTAATTATGTGTATGGTGACAATAAATCACACATACAATAAATCATCACACAGTGCCTATATTCTTCCTGAATAGAGGGGTAAATGTATGTAGAGTAATTAAATTATTTTAACTTTTCAATTATTTTTTTAATGATCATTAAATTCTCACTTTTGGAAAACTGCCACCCTATATGCCCTGTGCCCTTTGCTGTGGGTGTGGCCTCTCCAAAGAGTGGCTATACAGCATGCAGAGTCCTTAAGGGACGGATTTACTGTGCCATTTTAATAGTTTTAACTTTCTATTTAATTACCTTAATAACTTAGGCTATAAAAATAATGAATAAATGACCTTCAAGGTAAAATATTTAAGTTTTAAAAAAGTAGAAGATGCAATTAACACACCTTAGTTTGATATTTAGTTTCACTTCCAACACCTTAAAGACAATTGTATTGGTGACACTCAGAATATAAGGTCACCAAATAATGTAATGTTTGTTTATTAAAGTTAAGGAATAAAGATTTTTATTGTCCCATTAAAAAACCAATAAGCACAGGTCAGGTGACTCAGGTGCCATTTCTGTCATCTAGATATTAAGAGTGTGAAAATACAGACTTCTGAAAAGGCCTGGTGCAGACTGACTCAGGTCAGAGAGGTTAACCTACATGTCAATCACAGTCACTGGAGTGAGTTGGCTTTATTGAGGCCCAGGTCTGATGGTTTTAACATCTGCAAAACACAATGGTAGGTCAGAAATAACAACACATTAGGAAATTAGCAAATAATCACTGAATTGTTTAGGGAAACAAGATCAATAAGGGTTTAAAATTCAAATGTTTTTAGTAGACAGGAAGATAACAGAAAAGCGAGAAGAGACCTGAAGTTCAGACAATAGGGAGGGGCTGCAGCTATGTAACTGGGGGATACATGCCTCCCCTCCCAAATACATTCAATTCTTTAAAAAAATTTAAATCCAGTGCTGGTCAAACAAATTCAGGGCCTTATTTGGTCACCAGCTTGTGACCCCTGACCTTTAGTAAAGCTAATATCAGGCCTCAGCCCCAACTCTCAGGAACTGTAATTTTGGAGTGGGACTCGAAGTCTTAAAAAAGATGATAGGGTAGTGGGCAGGTAGGTTAACTTTCAGTGTAAGGAAAGTTTTAAAACATTTTAACAGCAACTGGAGCACAGATTAATAAGGGAACAGGAGCATTGTGACTGGATTTGAATTACAGATCGATAGCTCCTTAAATGCCCCCTTAATACGGGGGCCAGATTGGGGAGACAGGGGTCAAGAGGCCCCATTGCTAAAACCTGAAAGGACACCCAGCATAAAGCCAAGTCACCTGGGACAGGTGACATTTTTACATACGAAAAAGAGTTTCGTGTTAGTCTTTTTAGAAATACGTACGTTTGTTTAATCTTTGCCTCTTCAGGATGACCTCTAAAAATGTTTATTCCCCAAACACACCAAAAACCGCTGTACATTAAACATTCTGTTAGGAAATGCCACTTCATTAAGCAACTCTTAATTGCTTTACATTTTCAAATGTCCAAATTTCTTTTTGAGTACTATGTGTACTTTTGTGAAATGCAAGTTCATTAATATGCACATGTTTTTACCACTGCTGAACCTCTTTAAAATGCAGATACAAAGTTTCCAAGGAGGGGGGGCGGGTCAGGGTGCCAAAGCTGTAATTATGATAAGTACATGTTTGTATACTTGTTGGGGGTGGGGTGGGATGTGACAGATTTTGGGAAGCCAAAGCCCCCAAATCCCTCCCATGACAAAGTCCTGGTTCATGGTTTATAATATATAGAACCAGGTTTTAAAATTTCTTCCTTTAGTTAGAAACATAAACATGGTACATCTGACTGGCAATAAAGTACGGTTTGTTTTAAAATGATGTTTAATAATGCCAGTTAAAATCCTCAATCTATGTTTTGTAATGTAACCACTTTGTTACATGACACAAATTTTAAATTTTAAATTTTAAATGACAATTATGTACCATTAAGTAATCCATCCACCCCGAATTTAAATAATTAGCTTTTGCTTTTTACTTTAAAAATAGCTAATTATTTTGAGTATTTTAAATTAATTTATTTGTGTTGTATTATAATTACAGCTTACATTGGAGTTTTAAGATGCATACTTTTTTAAAGATCCTGTTAAATGTAAGGGAGATAAGGCAAGCAATATACCACAGGAAAGAGCCAGGAGCAAGACACCAGAAAAATCCTGCAGACTCCAAGGAAAACACCGAATAAAACAATTTACTTTGGTCACTTAACACATATTTAATGAGTGCCTACCATATGCCAGGCACAATTAATAAATATGTAGACAAGTTAGCCAGAGCTAATATCCTAGAGTTTCAAGAAAAAAAAATCCAGCTTCATGAGCACACAAATAAACACCTCATCCTCGCCCAGAGGCCAAACACCAATAAGCTACTTTAACCTCCTATGAAACAGTTCAAGTTGTTTCTTATTTTGTATCCACCAAGGCATGGGGTTCCAGCAGGTACCGCCACAAAAATCCAGTAATGTCGCAAAAAGAAAAACAAAAAACAAAACCAACAATCTTAAATGTTGACGTATGTAAAACATTTTATTTTTTATTTGTAGTAATAACATTTAGTTGGATTGCCTTTAGAGGCGCCAGCCATGTCAGCATAGAAGCATCCTTTAAAACCCACTATCAAGAATTTAAATTGTGGGATTATGTTACTTAATATGCAAAGCACTTATAAAAAGTGCTTATGAATTTCAGGTATAATTATTATTAACTGTTCCTTATTATTCTCATATTTATTAGACACTTGTGGATAAAAAGCAAAACCGCGCAGCAGAGAAACCGCAGGAGGGCGGGGCTGTGCAGCCAGGCTCAGGTAGTGAAGGCGCGCATGCGCAGAGATGGGCCTGATTTTGGGGGGGGTAGCTCACACTGCGCAGGCGCAGGCGGCTCTGGGGAGGCGGGGCCCTAGGCCAACTCAGAGGAGGGGCCGAGCTTTGGATAGGCAGGGCCTGGGCGGGGTTGGGGGGGGGCCACCTCAGAGGAGGCGGGCTTAGAGAGGCGGGGTTTGGGGGAGCCACCTCAAAGGCGGGGGCTCTGAGAGAGGCGGGGTCTTGTGAGCCGCCTCAGAGGAGGCGGGCTCAGAGTGAGGTGTCGGGGGGAGGCAGGGTCTAG